ATTTTCTCAATCTAAGTTGAAGCCCTGCTGAGCTCTTTCAGCCCCGGTCACTGTATAGACCGTTGGGGCTTCGTGCCTGCGTGTGTAGACAGATGGGGCTTCGTGCCTGCGTGTTTGAAGCCCCTCCTGACGCCTGCTGATCCAGTATGTTTATAGAAATTTGTAATACTTTGGGTATTATAATGAAACCTGAGGCGCTCTCTCTATCTATCCTTTTCTCTGTCTGTCTGTGTCTGTCTGTCTGTGTCTGTCTGTCTGTCTCTGTCTGTCTGTCTCTGTCTGTCTGTCTCTGTCTGTCTGTCTCTGTCTGTCTGTCTCTGTCTGTCTGTCTCTGTCTGTCTGTCTGTCTCTGTCTGTCTGTCTGTCTGTCTGTCTGTCTCTGTCTGTCTGTCTGTCTGTCTCTGTCTGTCTGTCTGTCTGTCTCTCTCTCTCTCTCTCTCTCTCTCTCTCTCTCTCTCTTTCTCTCTCTCTCTCTCTCTCTCTCTCTCTCTCTCTCTCTCTCTCTCTCTCTCTCTCTCTCTTCATTTGCTTTCTTCCTTCGTAATCTCTTTCGAAAACGCTCCTGATAAACACTTCATTTACATTTTAAGTTTATTGTTTTGGTCTAAGTTAGCAGTTGTAAGTGCCACAAGTTAAGGGTTATCAGTAAGGTTTAAATAAACATCCAAGTTAAGCACTTCTTAACCTTTAATACCCACCTGGTAACGTATTACTGGAGACCAACTGAACATAAACAAAATTCTTTTGTGCATAATAATCCTAACTCGTACCACGATATTTATCTAACTTTTATAGTTCAACAAACACGTGGATAATTTACGTTACTAGACACAAAAATAATCATATATTATAAGCAATACTTCACGAATTATTATTTATTCAGTAGTTGGTTGAGTAGAATAACGGCTCAAGCTAAATTTTTATTTATATTAGAGATGAGAAAGATGAGAGCATCCCTGAGGATGCTTGATACTCAAAGAGTTCCAATAATCCTTCAGACGCTGCCATTAACCAACTTACGCTTTTGGGAACGTTGCACAAAAGTTGCTCCCCCGATACCTCCCCCTCAGAGTCCCCTGTTGAGCTTTGTATTATGCTGCACAAGCTTTTTATAAGTCTCATGTGTTTGCATATATGTATAAATAAATAAATAAAATAAATAAAAAATAAATATCACAAATCACAGTGGCGTGATATATTAATTAATATCATGTTGAGGCAATGTAGGGGTTCGAACTCGCGTTCTGGTGAATCCCAGACGCCTGTCCTAACCGCTACCCGTCCTCGACTCAAGTCCATTACATCCAGCGGTCTCCCCCACAGACGCATTCATAAATTTTAACATGCTGTTCATTCAAAACAAAAATTTTCTCAAATATAAATTAATATTATAATATATTGGCACATTGGGCATATATAGGCATAGGTTAGGTTAGGTGTTTAGGTTCGGTTGGCGATTATTTGCATTTGTAGTACGTGGGTGAAGCATTTATAGCGATGTGGTTCGAACAAAACTCGTCAGTGAAGCACTTGTTCCGGAAGTGTTCGAACGAAATCAGTTGCGAGTCGTGTCTAAACCGTTTTCATTCATAAACAGGGGGTTTGGCGGGTGGATGGAATCACTTTTGGATCTTTGGAGGACGGGCTGTTTACAGTGTGGTGGTTCGAACTAAATCCGTCAGTGAAGCACTTGTTCCGGAAGTGTTCGAACGTCATCAGTTGTGAGTCGTATGTAAACCGTTTTTCATTCATAAACAGGGGGTTTGGCGGGTGCATGGTATCACTTTTGGGTCTTTGTTTGGAGGACGGGCTGGATATTCAGTGGGTGAAGCATTTAGCTGATCCCTTGCTGTGATTGGCTGACACGGAGAATGTCAACAAAGAGTTTCCACCATTGAAAAGCAAGCGTGGGAATGCTTCCTTCAATACAACAACCCGCTTTATGAGCTGCTGTGCGTTTGTTGATAGTGCAATGTTCTGCCAGTAGATGGCATCAGCTGTATCTTCGCTAACCTAACAGGTTGTTAGTGCATTTTTCTGCAGATAGATGGGCATAAGGTTCCTTAACACACTGAGGTTCTTGTGGATATTACCATAATTGCAACCTTTTACAGTTTGTGATTGACGAAGACGTCTCCCAATCAATTTGGTGATAATTTTCTGAAAAATCTGCTTTATAACATGAATCTTAGTAACGATTTATACAATTTGGACCGCCTCAGCGATGATCTCTAGGGACGAATTCCTCAAATGATAACTATCTGATAACACTAAACTCGTTACAAAATGAGTTTGAATATATATCCTCACTCTGTTTCATTCCTATCCTTACCCCTCCCCCCTTAGACCCCTCTTCATTTTCATTATATACAATATTAGGGAGGAATGAAACTTCTGTACTGTATAGGAAATAATTAATTTTTCTGGGGAAAACTCTTCGGGAATCTCAACCAATATTTTACAATTGACCAGAATTCAAGCTGTGAGATCGATTGATGTATTCACCTAGTTGTGCTTGCGGGGGTTGAGCTTTACTCTTTCGGCCCGCTTCTCAACTGTCAATCAACTGTTTACTAACTACTTCCCCCCCCCCACACACACACATACCAGGAAGCAGCCCGTGACAGCTGACTAACTCCCAGGTACCTATTTACTGCTAGGTAACAGGGGCATTCAGGGTGAAAGAAACTTTGCCCATTTGTTTCTGCCGAGTATCTGTGCAGGTGGCAGCAGGTCAATATCTTTGGGAGTCGAATTACTTTGTGCTCGGAGTATGTTGCAAATGTAAGGAGTGAGTAGTGAGTTTATCGGAGGAGCTCTTGGCAAGAACCATAGATTGGGCCCCGAGAACCCATGCCCGGGGACCTCCGTGAACCCATGCCCGTGGTCTTCCGAGAACCCAAAGAACCCTGACCCGAGAACGCCTCGAGATCCCGGGGACGGGAACCTTTGTAAGCAAACTTTCAGACCTGAAATTTTCAAGCCTGAAATTTTTAGGCCATTGATCCTATCAGGTGAACATAATCACTACCGTCCAGGGCACAAATAATAGTTATAAATAGTTATGGTTGCTCGCTAATGGCATGGAAATTATGCATGATATGGGATACGTCGGTCCCGTTCGTATAACATTTAGACTAAATTATTTATTAGTAATGGCTAATGATTCATTAACATTTATCGATAAATTAAATGTTCCACTATTGGAAGGGAAACAAGCCTCATACATGGATGATCTTATGGTTAAAGGCGCATATGTGTAAGTTTTTGTTTAGTTATACATTATTTTGCACAACACGTATTGAACTCACAGTATATGCACAGTATATGCAATACACAGTGACACACAAATGACACATAGAACGCAGACATTGTACACACACACACACACACACACACACACACACACACACACACACACACACACACACACACACACACACACACACATACACACACGTTGTCTATAGACACACAGTACACTAGCAACAGAACACATACGGTACGCGGTCAATACACATCACACAATATACAAAATATATACACTATCCACTCAATAGAACGAATACGACACAAAACAGATCACTCTCTACACAACAGAACACCCACGAAACACAACAGAATACTCACTAACAACCACAACAGAACACTCACTAACAACCACAACAGAACACTCACGAAATACAACAGAACACCCACGAAACACAACAGAATACTCACTAACAACCACAACAGAACACTCACTAACAACCACAACAGAACACTCACTAACAACCACAACAGAACACTCACTAACAACCACAACAGAACACTCACTAACAACCACAACAGAACACTCACGAAACACAACAGAACACCCACGAAACAGAGCACACATGTACACAGTAAACAGCACACAGCCGTTTTCAACAACACAGGACTGCATTAACCATCTCGCACATTGTGTTGTGTTACAGACAACAGTCAACTCCCGGGCACCACTTTACTGCTAGGCGAACAGAGACTTCGAGGGTAATGAATTGTGCCCAAACGTCTCGCCCTTTCCGGGATTCGAACCCAACTGTCGGAGCGTCAGTTTCGTTTTATTTCCCAATGTTTTGCATGAAGGGCAGACAAGGTTAAAATTAAAATATGCAGGAATTATCAGGTATCCAATTAATATTGTGTTGGCCATCTTTCACACCTTTACAATGTGTAAATGTTCACCTTTTTGTTACAATGTTTAATGTTGACCTTTACAAATACATACACTGGTGTTTATACAGCGTGTGAATCTCTTACATAATGGTGTTTGGTGTATGGAATCCTCCTCTTAATGTGTCGAATTAAAACCATTTAGTCTGCACGAAATTGAAATCTACGTAGAAAGATTTAATTCTTTCATATGTGCCTCTTGTCTCGTAATGTTCATTTTATAATGAACGTTCATTTGTTTATACCGATGTGTTATTATTTCAAATTGTAATGATAATTACAAATTATTATTTGTTCAACTCACCAATAACGTCTGGTCAGAAAATTTATAATTAAAATATAACTCCCGTAAGTATATTAATAAAGTCTTGATTAGTTGTACTAAGAAATGAATAAATAAAACTAGTATTCCGAGGGCTGAATAATTGAAAATATTCTCTGACTGAAACAAAAAACAATTTGGTGCGGAATCTGCGTGTCATCAGAGAGCGCCAAATGTTTGCTCATTAAATACCTAATGTCATCAGCTCAACGTTACCAGCATTTACTGATCATTTATGCTAGTCTGCCAGCAATATACCTCAGAGGCCGGTGTGTGGGTTATCACATATAGTGAAGCGTTGTCCCCTGACATGGGGACAAAAATGGACACGAGTGATTTCCAGTCATGTCAGTGCGATCAGTCCAGATATCTGTAAATCATGCCAGCGTGATTATTCTTGAGATCTGCAATCATGCAAGTGCGAATGCTCTTGTTTTATTGGATTCTATCTTGATTTATTGACGTATTGTTTCTATTTCTCCAGGAAAACAGCAGTTTGTGAAAAAATACTTTTATGTAACAAAGTTGGTGCTCCTCACACACACAAAAATGTAAAGAATTCACAATTTTGGTTAAGATTTCCAATATTTGAACATAAAATTAAGAATTGACACATTACATATTATAGTGAATGTCATTTCATGAAAATTTACTTGGAACATTTACCGTGTGTAAGGAGTTAAGGAAACAGAGAGAAAATTTATATGCAGGATCTGATGGATATCAGAACACTTCTCGACCAGGATAAACTACGTATTTGTACAGAAATATCCCTTTTAGAGTAGTGGCCACTCACGAGGAACATGACACTCGAGTAGTGACTCCAGTACACACACACAACTTGTACTGGAACACACAGGTTGTGACTTCAGTGCAGAAACGCTGAACACGAAGGGTGAACATGTGAACTTGACTGGAAATACTATATAAGCGTCGAATTACAAATATTGAATTCAATAACGAATAAATTCAAGTGAAAGCAGTGATCACGGGACGATGAATGAATTAGCTTGTGCGCAGTGACATTCACAGTGATGGAATTGTTCTGAATTGTGTGAAATAACATTCAAAATTGAATGCCTCTGTGCACAATACTGGCCCGTGTGAGTATATGGATCAAATTATGGAAGTCCTTTGATGTGTTGGACCAAGAAGTCATCAAACTAAACCGGTAAGAGCTGAAATATCACCACGAAAAGTGTAATATATATGATATATAAGTACATGAAACACAAGGATAAAATAGTGCTCAGATATCAATCATGGTTCGTAATGTACATTTTCCTGTATCTGATGCACGACCATAAAGAATGTAACATTAATACCTCCTTATACACATTTGAAGGGCTTCTGAAATACTATGACTGATTCCGACCTGTCACCGAGGCGTGTTACCAGGGTCAAGATGTGGGCGTGGGCGTTGGCATGGGCGTGCCTCCTCAACGCAATGCCTACTTCCTCTCTCTTTGTACCTGAGACTGAGGGAGGAGGATCTGGGGCTGTGGTACAAGTCCTCAGTCGCATGATAGAGGTGAGTACCCCAGTTCAAGTCATGGTCGCTACATGGTACAGGTGAGTCCCGAGGCCAAGCCTTGGTCGCTGCGTGCAGCCCATCCTCCAGTTTTGGTAGTACTTACAGTAACGGCGAGGACCATAGTATATATACCGACGTACAACGAAATTAGAAAGTAGAAATCTGAACTATTGAGTTGGACAAACCGGACTTGTGTTTCTTTGACAAACTAACCTAACTTAACCTTCCTAAGCCTAATACACGATATCTGAGGCCTAATATAGCACATATGAGTGATATACAAGGCCTAGGAATATATAAATTTGTTTCATGTCTTCATTTATTTTAAAAGTACTCCTTACTAGTCAGTATACTACTATCTAAAAGCTAAGTATGTACGAATTCGTGACTATTGACGACCATCACAATAGATACTATCTAAACAGGAGGAAGGGTTGTAGCAGGTGAGTTCAGAGTCCAACTCATGGTGCCTGCAATGGCTTGATTGCTCATAAGAGCCAGTGTATAACCATTTCCATGAGATGTATAGTGATGAGGACGACGTCTCTCGCACCTGCAAACGTATTCGCTCCTCCTACACACACTTGTAATTAATTGTAAACACTGCCGGTGGTGTGTCATATCTGTAGCCCACTGCGCTATGAGGATTATTATTATTATTATTATTATTATTATTATTATTATTATTCTTGGTTGTTTGGTGTATGTGAATGCTGAATATGTTGTGTGTGTGTGTGTGCGCGCGTGTGTGTGTGTGCCTGCCTGCCAATAGGCCTGGTGAATATGCCCATAAGTAATTTCTGAATAATATCATGAATGCCTGGTTAATAAAGATTTCAGCTTCCTATGCAAGGCAAACGAGAATCAGGGCTTGAAGTGGAGCATGTCCGTGAAGGAAGAGGTGCTCAGGGTGGTTTACAGCTGGTTGAGGAGAGGCGGAACAAGGCCCTTCGAGAGGTGGTACTCGCGCTGTACCACCTCTGTACCACTAAGCTGTACCGCTGTACCTAGGTACTTGCACTTAGGAACAGTGACATTCAGTGTCTCAGAATGTTTTCCTTTTTGTCTAAGGTATTGATCACTAAAGGGAATCGTATGGGCCATGGGCAGAGCCGCGTTGACGTAAAGTCTAATATTGTTAATGTTTTTTGCGTCACCTATGTCACCTGTTTCTTTTTGCGTCACATATGTCACGTGTTACTTTTTGCGTCACATGTGTCGCCTGTTTCTTTTAGCGTCACATCTGTCACCTGTTACTGTCTGGTTCCCCGTCTCCTGTATTCACGTCAACTGTTTTGTTGCCCATCATCTGGACATTCAACTTCCGTCCAGAGACAGTTTTTTCATCTCCGTCACCACTCCTCCCCCCCCCCCTTCCCTTGTCACTCCGTCCTCTTTCATCTCCCGTCCCCTCAACACCACCCTGAACTCTCCTGTAACCTCCCGTCTCTTTTACTAACAGCCGTTCGCTGTACCATCTCCCGTCCTCACCGGTTAAATTTCTATATGATCCTGTCTTGTTATAACCTTTACCAACTGTCATCCATTTTGTCACCTCTTCTCTCCCTGTCATTTCCACTCTACCCGTCATCTTCCGTATCCCTGTCATCTCCAGTATCCCTGTCATTGCTCGTCTCTGTCATCTCATGTCTCTGTCATCCCCCCGTTACTTTAAATTCTTGCTTCTCCTTTCCCTATATGACCGCCCAACCACTTGGGCTGGACGGTAGAGCGACGGTCTCGCTTCATGCAGGTCGGCGTTCAATCCCCGTCCGTCTAAGTGGTTGGGCATCATTCCTTCCCCTTCCTCCCCGTCCCATCCCAAATCCTTATCTTGACCCCCCCTTTCCAAGTGCTATATAGGAGTAATGACTTGGCGCTTTCTCCCTGATAGTTCCCTTCCCAGGTCCTGTCTCTCTCTCAGCACCCTACTGTCACCTACTGTCTCAACCCTTCCCTTTCCCCCCCCCCTTCCCACTACGAGGTGTTTGCATACATTAACTACCCAATCATTTTTGACGGTGTTCAAATTGCCTTTCATGGTCTGGAAGAGAGAATTAACTGAGAAGTAAACGGAGTCTTGGGCCTTTTTTACATGTTAATATTTATTCAGTAAGAACTGGAGAGGAGAGGAGAGTGGGCTGAAGGAGAGGATGCGTGCAGGGAAGAGGTGGAGAGGAGAGTAGCAAGAAGAGAAATAGAGGCGAGGGAGAGGAACAAAGGGGAGAGGAAAAGAGAAGCGGTGTGTGGAAGAGAGGAGACGGGAGTGTACCAGACGACCTCCAAGAGCTGTCGTCCATAGAGGTGTCGTCCATAGAGCTGTCGTCCATAGAGCTGTCGTCCATAGAGCTGTCGTCCATAGAGGTGTCGTCCATAGAGGTGTCGTCCATAGAGGTGTCCATAGAGGTGTCGTCCATAGAGCTGTCTTCCATAGAGCTGTCTTCCATAGAGCTGTCTTCCATAGAGCTGTCTTCCATAGAGCTGTCTTCCATAGAGCTGTCTTCCATAGAGCTGTCGTCCATAGAGCTGTCGTCCATAGAGCCGTCGTCCATAGAGCTGTCGTCCATAGAGCTGTCGTCGGACCTATCCCGTCTCTCTCTGTCCTTGTAAAGGTTCCGTGCTCCTTCACTGGCCCTAACGTACCCGTCCTCCATGACCACTGAAGACACTGCTGACATTCTCCTATTATACCAAATAATCATTCCATTCACCTGGGCTCTAGGAGACTCGAACCGTGAACCCCCGCGTGTGTGACACCGAAGCTCTATCGATCGAGCTATTGAGGAGTCTTAATAAGAAAAGTTTACTTCTACGGAAGTGTGTATAACAATTTATATACCAAGTGATCCTCTCAGGGACTTTCAGAACCTTCTGCAGATTCTTTCAGAAACGTCAAGAAACTAACAGACCCCCCCAAAAAAAAATATAGATTAGGATTACATTTACTGTATATATTGTGAACAAGTGCACAGGGTATAAATATATGTTAATCTCGCGTTTGCTGACAAAAAAATAAGCAATAATTTTAGACAAATAGGGGGTGAGTCCAGTTAATTGTGTTTTCATTTATTTATGCAACATTTACTCTATATATACACACACTGCTTTTGTTACAACAATTTTCAGTAGCATTGTATTATGGTATAATTAAATTTTGGAGCAAGTTATGTACATGTTTAATTTGATATATATATATATATATATATATATATATATATATATATATATATATATATATATATATGTATATATGTATATATATGTATATATATATATATATAATATACACACGTGTCCACCCTGACAGTGTCTCCCGGGTTGCAGGTGCTGGAGACGCAGGAGAGACACACGGCGCTCTACGAGAGAGTGGCGCTGCTGGAGGACAACCTCAACAAGAAGACGGAGACGGAGGTGAGGCTGGAGTCTGAGGTCCTGCAGCTGCGGGCCAAGATTCCCGCCCTGGAGGAGGAGATCAAGACCATCCCGGAGATGAGGAAGGACCTGGCCGAGTTCCAGGCCAAGATCGAGAAGTTGGTGCACGACTACGAGGCTAAGCTCTCCACCTTGGCCTCCGAGGTCATCCGTCTCAAGAAGTACGGGGCCAGGACCAAGGACTTCCAGACCCTCAGCGATGGGAGTAAAGTTCTCCTCAGGAGAGGTGAGTCTCCCACCTTCACAATCTAGAGACAATGCCATATTTGAACTTTTAATATACCATTCCCTCCCTTCCGTCCCATCCCAAATCTTTATCCTGATCCCTTTCAAGTGTTATATGGTCGTAAGGGCTTGGCGCTTTCTCCTCGTAGTTTCTTTCCTTTAATATACCAGTTCCATCTAGTATGTCAAAAACCATTTAATATGAAGAATATCTATGAATATACACACTGCTTCTAGGTGTATATACACTGACAGTTCACTTTAGTCTTGAACCATTTTTTAGAGCTAAGTAT